ATGTATGGAGTGCGCTGCCTGTGTTCCACTCCCGGAACACCAGTCCGACGTCCCTGCGCTGGGACACTCAGAAAACGCAGAGCCCAAATGCGCGGGCAGCTACCGGCATCTAACGACCGAACGCTGAACTGCAACCCCCGGCCCCGGCAGCCGCGGGAACACCACGGTCCCCAAACGCCACGGATTGTCACTCGTTCTGGGGCTCAAAGCGGCACAGGCGACACAAGGCTACAGCCTGAAAAAAAAATAATTCTTATTACTCACCAAGATTGGCTCCTACAAAGTCCATCCCTTTGTATTTTTTTTTCTATTTACCACTAGATGTCTATTACTACCGTGACTGATTCTGATTTTATTAATGAATATCATTTCATGCACTTGCACTCACCAGTCACATACAGCCTCCATACACATGAAGAAAAGTACCTGGATTCTGGAAGACTCTGATTTTGTGCCTGATTTAAATGTAAGGCAAAAAAATTGGTTCTTCTCCAGTAACTTCTCTGGGTCTCTAAAATAAAATAATAAGAATAAAATCAATCAGGTTGGTTGATTTAAGATTTAATTTGAACATGTTTGCTTTGCAAAACAAAATAATAATACTAACACTACAGAAGTACATTGTGAAGCAGTATGAACTTTTTGATCAAGCTGCTGAAGGATAATCTTGGTTGAACCAGTTTCTGACAAGCATCTTTTTCTGCAAGCAAGGTGGCAGTATTTCCTTCCTTTCTGTCCATTCAACCAGCTCACTGAAATGGATTGCCTCTGCTGATTTTTTTTTTCATTATTTCCATCCATAAATAAAAAAGAGGTGGAGATTACAGCATGATCTCTACTAGTTCCACACACTAGAACGACTGAGAGTTCAACCAGTCACATTCTCTTCCTGCAAATATACCTCCATTTTTAATAAAAGCTTTTTCAGTGCAAAACATATTTAGAGAATCTCCTTAAGAAGAAGGATCAAATACATTTATCTTATTCAACTAAAAGCAACTATAATGAGGGTTTATTTTCCTCATTATTTTCTTTTTTATATTCTATATTTTTTATATTCTATATTTTATAATCTATATTCAATTCCTATATTTATCCACTAGGAGTTTGGTATGACCCACACCTAAAAGTGTAACAACTACCTAGGGGAAAAAAAAAGAATTTAAACAGTCCTCATCTTCCCAAATCGTGAAATGTATGTACAAATTAAGAAGTTATGTTAAAGTCTGAAATGTCTCAGATCTATGTAACTATACCACATCCTCTTAGCTAGCAAAAAGAAATGGTAAATTATGCATGAAGACCATGACCAGCACACTTCAATGGTTACCAAACAGTGAAAAATCAGTCTTTGAGACACAATACAACTGCAATTTAATATAAACAATCACTTCAATCAAACTTTTCTGTTCACTGGCTTAGGAGTAATTTTCACGACGACTGATTTAAAGCACTCCTCCAAAGTGTGACTGTTTACTCATTCCAAGCTGCAGGAAATATTTTTTCTGCAAACACTGCTGCCAGACTCCTGGCTTTTTCTAGCTGCAGTCACACAGTTACTTCTGTAAACAGGATTATGGCATTGGCTCCCTTGGATGTGTGGGAAGCTCCTGGCAGCCTCCTGCAGGAGCCACCCCTGGGGGCCTCCTCTGCCAAAACCTTGCCACACAAACCCTGTACAAAGCTCTGGCAGCATAAAGAAACCGTGAAAAGAGACTTTTTTAGTACAATGTACCTAGCCATTCACATTACCTAAAGTGAGAGCTCCCAGTTCACAGCTAATTACTCTTGTTCTATCTTTACACCACTAAAAATGCTGCTTTCAATTGATATGGTTCTGCCATCTTCCTCCTGTGCTTGTAGTACCACCATGCAGGAGTTCTGAAAGCTTTTAGAGCATCCATTTACCTCAAATACCTCCTTGCCTCAACTCTCAGCAGTTCTTGACTTCACAAACCTTCAGACCAACATGTTCAAGACAGTTTATGAGTGTTCCTCAAGGGTGGAAGGAACAGCTTTTACCACAACATGCTTTTTGTCATTTGTGTTAGAGTGAATGGTAACCATTAGTCTTAAAAAAAAATCCAACCAAGGAAAATATTCTTCCCCAAATTAGAGACTGCAATGGGATATTCTGGCCAGAATCTGAAGATACACCTTTCACAGCAGCATAAATAATACTTCTGGTATAACTAAGAAGGGTGACCCTCGTGCATGCAGCCCTTTTATCCTGTCTTTTTATCCTGTGTGGGACAGCATTAATTATTGTTCCCACAGGAATTCATTCCACAAACCCTGCTTTTGTTGTGCTGAGATACTAAGCTGCTGCCTGTGCCATCAGCCCATCATTTTTTGGGTGCTGCCCACCTGAATGTTGAGCGCCTTGAATCTGATGTGGCATTAAATCTTTTAAAATTCTGGCCTTGACCAAAGCGCTCCAGAAGGAAAAATGTTACACGACTACTGAATTTTTGAGGAATCATTATCTCAAAGTCAAGCAGACTGCATTTTTTTGTAACTCCCTGAGATGCACTGAAGGAATTGCTGGCAGATGCTGGGAGTGTACAACCTTTGGCTCACACGTGAAGCACAAAAATGCAGGCAGCTATAAATAGCATGTAGGAATAATGCAACCATTTCTATATTCTGCTATAACTGAACTTCTATTCTGCCTGAGGGACATGAAATCCAGGCCTAGTTTTCATCAGCAGAATTAAATCCAAGTGTGTCCACATACAGACATGAATAAATAAAATGGTATCCTGGAAGAATTAAACTAAAACTTTTAACTGTTCAGATTCAGTTCAGAAGGGGTTGGGACAACTCAAACTCTAACATTCTTTGTCTCTCAGGCTGGTGTTTGACAGGACACAAATCTCATCGTGGACCACTAAGCAAATAGGCAACTTAAAATATTTTTTTATAACCAGATCCGCCCCTTTGTTTTTTTAAACTGTGTTCCCTTAAGCATCAGGCTTTATCACCACTATTAATATTCATGCTGGCTAGCTTGAAGTATTTATTTATTAATGCCCCCTAAACTCTTTGGCTTGGTCATGTGTTTGAGTGCTGATCAGAGAATCAGGGAATCATGGAATGGTTTGGGTTGAAAGTGACCTTGAAGATCACCTAGTTCCAACACCTCTGCCATGATGTCCTGCATTTGGCTGGGATAGAGTTCATTTCTTTTTTAAAGTAGTTGGTACAGTGCTCTGTTTTGGATACAGCATGAGAAAAATACTCTGATGTTTTGGTTGTTGCTAAGTAGTGCTTACCCTTAGTCAAGGACTTTTCAGTGCCTCATGCTCTGCCAGTGAGGAAGTGCACGAAAAGCTGGGAGGGAGCTTGGCCAGGACAGCTGACTCACAGAATCATAGAACAGTTTGGGTTGGAAGGGCTCTAGTTCCAGCACCTCTGCCACAGGCAGGGACACCTTCCACTAGATCAGGTTGCTCAGAGTCCCATCAAACACGGCCTTGAACAATTCCAGGGATGGGGCATCCACACCTTCTATGGGGAACTTGTGCCAGAGCCTCATCATCCCCACAATAAAGAATTTCTTCCTAGTGTCTAATATAAACCTACCCTCTTTTAGTTTAAAGCCAGATCCCCTTGTTCTATTGCTACAGGCCCATGTAAAAAAAAAAAAAAATCCCTCTGCAGCTCTCTTGTAGCCCCTTTTAGGTACTGAATGGCTGCAGGTAAGGTCTCCCCAGAACCTTCTCCAGGCTGAAAAACTCAATCCTCTGAGCCTGTCTTGATAGGAGAGGTGCTCCAATCCTCTGAGCTTGTCCATGGTCCTCCCCCGGACTTGCTCCAACAGTCCCACACCCTTTTAAAGCTGGGGACCCCGAGCTGATGCAGCACTGCAGGTGGGTTCTCACCAGAGCAGAGGGGCAGAACTGCCTCCCTTGCCCTGCTGGCCACGTTGCTTTTGAGTTCCCAGCCTGAATAAGCTTTTTAGTCAAGGGGAAAAAAAATCGAATTTGAATTTGCTATACACTTGCTTACTCTTCTCACAACCTTCCCACTATTTCTTTACAAGCATTTCACATATTTCTTCACGTCTGCTAGAGCACTTCCAATGAAGAGCAATGGGATATGAGAACACACTCTTTGTATATGGTCACATTTCAGAAATATACGCAATTTCTGTGGCAGCACGCACCGAGGGCACAGCTCAGCAGCTTCTCCTTCTGGCAGCACACCCAGCTGTGGGATGTGCCCTCCAACCTCTGTGGCTGAGGGGTGATCCCCCAAAACTGCGTGGCCGTGGGGTGATTCCTCCAACCTGTGTGGCTGAGGGATGATCCCCCCGTGTGACTGAGGGGTGTCCCCTCCAACCTTTTTGGTGTGGCGAGATCCCTCCAACCTATGTGGCTTGGCATGTCCCCTTCAATCTGTGCGGCTGCAGGACGTCCCTTCCAAACCCGTGTGGCTGTGGGGCGTCCCCTCCGTTCTCTGTGGCCGTGGGGTGATCCCTGCGGGCAGCGTGGCGCGGGGTGTCCCCTGTCCTACCCCACACCTATTCTCCGGGCCGCTACCTCACTAAGGAAAGCATTGACCCGTCAGGAACACGCTCAGAAACGTTTCACGTCGCTCCCCTCAGGTGGAGCGGGGCATTCCGGCCGGGCCGCACCGCTTCCCTCAGACGCGGCACATGGCAATTCCCGCCCCTCGCTGGGACCTGCTGGGTGAGGGGAAGGAAAGGTTCCTCGGCTGTACCACTGTGGGCTTTGCGGGTGAGCCCGGCAAGTGGCGACTGCCGTTCGCCTCGGCACCATCCGACTCCTCCAAGCCGACCAGGGCCGGATCTCAGCGCAGCATCGCGGCGCTACACCCCGCTCTCTGCCCCGGCGCCCGGGCCCGCTCCCCGCCCGCCTCTTCCCCCGCTTCGGCGCCCCCCCGCACGGCGAATGGTGCGAGCCGCAGGTGTGGCCGGCGGGACAAACCAACGGCGGCCGGAGGGGGATCGGCGCGGCGGGAGGGCGGGACGGGACGGGACGGGGCTGGCAGCGGGCGCATCACCGGGAGCGAAGCGGGCGGAGCGGCCGCCGCGGGAGATTGAAGTGCCGGGGCCGCGGCGGGGCGAGGAGCGTGAGGCGTTGCCGCCACTGCCGGCGTCGCCCGTGGGGAGGAGAATAGGAGGAGGGGGCCGGTAAGTGCCATGGGCTGGCGGCAGCGGGAGCGCGGCCCCGGCGGTGCCGGTGCCGGGGGGGCGGGCAGGGCACGGCAGGGCAGCGGCCGCGGCTCCAGGAGGCCGGGGGTCCGCCCCTGCCCGGGTGTCCGTCCCCGGCCTGGCCCGCCGAGCCGCGGGTGGGAGAAGGCGCGTGGCGAACCGGGAAAGGGCGCGCGAGGCGGGGAACGCCGGGCTGCTCTGCCCAAGGTTGCTGGCCCAGGTGTTGGCACAGGCAGGCCCTGACCTGGATCACAAAGCAATCTTGGTTTAAATATAAAGTTAGATTTTTTATTTTTTTCCCCCCCTGAAAAAATGTTTTCAGCTTGAGTCAGCTTCCTGGGCTGATTCAGGGTAGGGGCAGCGAGAGGAGAAACTCGTGGCTGGAGCTGATGCACGTGGTGTAAGTGCTGGTCGAAAGTGTTAATAGAGCTGCCGGCTAATTAGAACATCTGTATTAACTCTAATTAGAGCATCTGCAGGAACTGTAGTTGCAACATCTGTAATGACTCTTGAGTTATAATTTGGTCATTCTTATCTTGATGGAGCATTTATTTTAATGCTGAGGTGTTTCAGGTACCTTTGGGTGGGTGCATTTCTCCTTGAGTCTTTGCAAATATGTGTACAGAGTAGATTTCTTCCTCGAGAACTAAACCTCTCTAGAAATTGATTGATTGTTGTATAGCAGCACTTGGAAAAAGCTCTGGGGGTCATCATCACTTCATCAGCTTCAGGGGCTGATTGCAGGAAGAGCAGGATTTTAGAGCACTGACAACTAGACGACTTTAATGCTCTAATTTTCTGTGTATTCACTTATCAGAACCACATTTACATCCTGTCACATACTGAATGGCCTGGTATGTATAGGCATTCTTTAGCCTAACAGATGCGATGAAAGGCATTTGCCCTTCCCCTCACCAGCCTATAGAATCACAATGACAAAAGGCTGAAATATATGAGAAGATAGATTTGTTAAATATTCGAGCATAGTACTGCCTCTAAACATGATAAATTGAGTGAGTAAAAAATTGGATATTCCTAAGAAAGTCTGTAACTGGACACCAGTTTGATATTTTCAAAAGCATCTTTTCAAATTACTTTTATCTACAGAAGAAGCAGTTCTCACGTGCAGGACTCTGCTACCCTGAGTTCCTTGAGTGAATGTGGTAGCTGAGTGAGTGGCAGCAACTGTTTATAGTTCAGTCTTGCTAGATGATGTTTCCCATCTTCTGGGGAGAAGCTGGAGCTTTCCCTCCAGCCCCTTGCTGGTATTTTTATCCCCTCCCTGTCTAAAGCATCCATCCCTGTGCTGCCTCACTGTGTCTTGGAGGCTTGGCTGCAGGTAGAGCTTTGCTTTCACTTCTTTCACTTTCTATTCTCCTTGTCTACAGATACAGAGATATCAGGAACTGGCATTAATTTCTTGTTCCTTGTTTTCTGGCAAACCTGAGCTTCTGTTAGGAAAGATGGTGTGATGCTACTGGAGCACTAGAATTAGGCTGCCTTGTAACTTGTGTTTATTTAATAAGTTACTTATTATTATTACCTAGGGATCTCAAGTCAACACCCTCCCTAGGCTTACTACTGTCAGCTGAAAGTAAAAATCAGGGTTTCCATTCAAGCTGCCTTACAAGTTCGAAGAGCATCCTTTCTTTGTCACATTTTGTGCATCAGAACCTTCTAAATCCCGTTTGCAATGCCAAGCAAAATTTAATCATGGAATTGTGCTATGAATGTTTGGGCTTCTTACAACTAGGAGTGGCATACAAGAAAAGTAATACATTAAAAGTATTGAATGGCTGTGGCTTTTTAAAATCTCATTTTCAATCAAGCCCTCTTTTACTATCTCTGTGTTATTTTCATCTTCCTTCCTGCAAGTGTTTGGAGTTAAAAAATAATCTTAAAAATCTAATCTGTTGGGGGGAAACCCCAAACCAAACAAAGCCTAACTAAACACACATACCCCACATACTGTGGATTAGATTTCAGACAAAATCATAGAACATGAAGGGATTGGAATGGGCCTTAAAGATCATCTAGTCCCAACTCCACTTCCCTGTGCAGGGATACCTTCCGCTAGACCAGGATGCCCAAGGCCTTATCCAACCTGGCCTGAACACTCCAGGGATGGGGCATTCACAGCTTCTCAGGGCAGCCTGCTCCAGCGTCTCACCATTCTTACAGTGGAGAATTTCTTTCTAATATCTGACCTAAATTTCCACCCTGTGAGTTTGAACCTGTTATTTCTTGCCCATTGATACACTTCTGAGTCCCTTTTCTGCTTCCTGTTAGGTCTCCTTCAGATACTGCAGCCTTCTCTTCCCCAGGCTTTGTAGGGGAGGTGCCCCAATCCTATTATCAACTTCGTGGCCTCCTCTGGACTTGCTCCAACAGTTCCGTGTTCTGCTTGTGCTGGGAGCACCAGAGCTGGTCACAATATTCCAGGTGGGGTTTCAGCCGAGGGGAATAGAGGAGGAGACAGTCCCCCCCCCGGCTTGCCCTGCTGCCCACGCTGCTCTGGATCCAGCCCAGGATACATCTGGCTTTGTGGGCTGCGAGCGCGCACTACCGGGTTAATGCTGTTTTTCACCAGCCACCCCCCGGTGCTGGTTTTAGGCTAAGAAGCAATGGAATGATCCTGGCCGGGAGCAAGGCTGACAGCCCGGCCCCGGGCGCTGCGTCCGCCTCCTCCCGCTTCCTCCTCCTCCTCCGGGACTACGGCTCCCAGCAGCGCCCGGGCTGAAAGTGAAAATAAGCGCCAGGTTACGCTCCTGTTTGCGCCCTCCGCCTCTCTCTCCCTCCCTCCCTGGTTCCCTCCCTCCCGGCGGGCCGCACGTGTCCTTCCTTTCCCTTTTGTTTTCCGCCCGCAGGCCGGCTGCGCGCCCGGGACGCGCCCGCTCCCCCCGGCGCCGGGACCCGCCGGAGCTGCCCCCGGCCCTGCGCGGCCGTGACGGAGCTGCGAGTCCGGGCTGCGCAGGAAACTTTGCCGCTTCTGCCCGCGCTCCCCACATGCGAGTGGACAACGTGAAGCCGGCTGCTGCTCTTCCTGCCGCTCCCGCCGCTGCTCCCGCAGCGCTGCCCCCCGCTCCGGCCGCTGCACCTGCGCCCGGCCCCGGAGCCGCGCCGCGGCCGCTCCTCGCCATGTGGGACTAGGAGGGGTGCGGCGGTCTCCTCGGTGAACATGGATGCGGCGGGCAGGGCCGGCGGAGGGGAGCAGAGCCAGCCCGGCAGCGGCAGGGACGCCCCCGGGGACACGTCCATGGACCGCTACCTGCGATCTCAGGGCTTGTACAGGAAGAAAGTGGCCAAGGATGGCTCCTGCCTTTTCAGGGCTGTGGCCGAACAGGTAACCGGTTACATAAACAAAGCTCCTTCTCACGAAGGCATGGGAAGTGGATCTCATTAGTGGGTGGTAATTAGTGTTAAAACGCAGACAGGTATAGTTTAAGGTTATGCGGTCGTGTGCCGGTGAAAAACGTGACTTTTTAAAAATAATTTCCACCTTGCGAGGTGAGAGAAGTTCTGTGTGTTCAGCTGCCTCCTGCCACCAAGAAATCCTTATCTGTTTTTGACCTTCCACCGCCTCCTCAGAGCTTTTTTCAGTGTAAGATCTCAACATCGAAATACAGCTGCTGGGTATGAGATTGTCCAGGAAAAGGAATTTAGAGCAGAAAAGCCACGTTCTTAGTTTTGTTAATTACTTGACTGTAAAATTAGAGAAAGTGAGTAGTTTATTTTCTGTTCTTCCTGTTGAATTCCCCTCCCCCATTTCAGTGTTAGTGTTAAAGGAAAAAAGCGACAGCGTCATCTTGTCTTAAGTACAAGCAAACAGCAGTGGGAGCTCTGGTGCTTCTGATTGTGGGAACCCAGATTCCTGTACTAATTATACACAGATCACTTTTTTAATAAAATTCCTTTCCCCACTGAATTGATAAGTTCAAGCAAGCAAATACTATGTATTGGAAGTGGGTGTTTTTTTTATCTCAAGGGAATAGATATATATACAATATATATTGCTATTCTGACTTTTTCATTAATACATAGAAGTTTCTTTCACACTTCAGTGTTGGATAGAACTTTTTTTCAGCTATTATGTTTTTAACATCCCATTCTTATTATGGAATCATTTAGATTGGAAATGACCTCTAAGAAAGTAAGGTCTTTAATTCAGAGTTATTAAGTGTTTATCTGCAAATTTGGTCTCATTTTTGTACTCTTCATTCAGAAAAACTGAATTTGGAAGTATTTTATTTTCAGGGTCGTTTGTAAGGACTGCAAGAAACGCAACTTAAATTGTCTGGGGCTTCCCTACGTTGCACTGAGATAACTTGTAAAATGTGATGAAAGTAATACTTTTCCAGTAAAGACATGAACAGGAGGTAGAATGCAGGTGTCATATTTAGGGAACTGAATTCCTGGCTTCCAGAAAAGTGTTTGGCCAACAGGCCTCTTGAAGGGAAGGTAAACATGTGCTGTGAGACTTGCTTGGATTTTTTTTGAATGAATGCATGTTGGTAGGTGGCTTCCTCATCCATTCCTGCTGTAACTTCCTTCAGTTAACTGAAGCCCTTTACAAAGGAGGCAGTTAAAGATTAACAATAAATGCTATTCATTTGCTTCGTAAATCCTCACAAAATTGAAGGTTTGAATTTAGCAAACCTGTGAATTCTGCAGTTATTTATTTTTTTATTAAGTAATTGAGGTTTGACTTGCCTGAAGATGTTGCTGCTGAATGAGTATGCATATTAAATATTCTTAAAAATAAAACTAGAGTATTTCCAAGCCTGTATTTAGGCAGCAGTCATTAATTATTTGTGGCCTGTCATCAAAACCCCTGAGATCCAATGTCACCTTGTTGTCTTGTTCCCTCTGTAGGTGTTGCACTCTCAGTCTCGGCACATTGATGTTAGGATGGCTTGTGTAGACTATCTTCGGCAGAATAGGGAGAAATTTGAAGCAGTAAGTATTTTTGTTTTCTTTGCCAGCATTTAAGAAAAGTTACTTTATCCCTTCCACTTTGGTATATCTGCACTTCCCTATGTTTGTGGCAATATTCATCATAGCTAAATGCCAGTTGGTGTTATTTAAGTTAATTAGCACATATGTGGTAGTAACTCATTTTCATAAGCCTGGAGAGACTTATGTATTCCTTGGTAGTGATGTGGTGTGGGAGAAGTTTTTAATGCTCATGAGGAAAGAGAAGCAAACTTAATCTTCAGTAGTCTATAGTGAAGCTACCATAATTGGGATTTTAGTTTGGTATAATGCCTACTTTAATAAAAGTTGTAAAATGTTCTTGTTGTGCTAATTAATAGCTTTTCCAGTATATAAGGGATTTGACTGATCAGATTAGTGAATTTTTTTCAGGATCTGCAGTTTATTATGCATTGGCACTGAAGTTTTTTTTCCCCTAAGCGTCTGTAACTAAGCTGTTCATCAACCATGGATGTAAAATATTTTGATATTCATTATACTTGGTCAGTGCTGTTGGTGTAACATTACAAATCCCTTTTTTCCCTTCCTTTTAAAAGATCATTAATCAATACTGATGCTTCTGTTTGTATGGGTTCTAGTGTTACTGTTATGTTCTAGTGTTAGTGTTATGTACTGTTACCTGATTTCCAGGACAGACAGAAGGGGAGTGAATATGTGTAAGGATTTGCTACTAGAAGATTATTACTCTATTTTTCTGTTCTAAATTTAGCCAGACCCAAAATACAAAGACTGTTTTAGGTATGCACTGGCACAGGGAGGAGAAGGAAAGCAGGAATAAGGGTGTGTCATTGTGCTGTAATTTCTGACATAGTACCCTCAGCTCTCATGTGAGTGATCACATAAATGTGGGAGTTACCAGAAATTAGTGATATAAAATACAGCAGATCTCTCTGGGACAATGCTGCTCTGACTTGACTCCTCCTGGTCGTTTCTAACTCTCTGATGTCTCTCTTTTTACTTCATTTTTTCACTGCTGACTTTTTAATCCCTTTCTTTCCAGAATTACCCCACTCATTCCAATATCTGCTTCTCTACTTCTGTTCTCTTTTTCCATTGTGTAGTGTTTTGAAATTCCATGCCCTTTTTGACTCTTAAATATGTGTTATTACCCATATTGCAGTTTACCATCACTGCTTTATTAGCCCTAGCTGGTTTTAGTGTAGTTTTAGTATTGTTTTGGTCTTTCTCATCCAAACTCCTGGTCCCAGTGTGCTTTTTTCCCTCTCAGACATTATCCCCAGGTATGACCTGTCCTCTGTCCATTTTTGCTGTCCTTCTGAAAAGTCTCCTTTTTAAAAGTTTCTTGTGAGAGTAGGTGTTTCATATTTGTTCTCATTTCCCAGTGTTCTTCCTCCCACGGGTACCTTGCTTCAGCTCTGCTGATCTCCTTTGCTGCCTCTGTCTCTCACTCTGCTTTGTGTTTTGTGCCTGAAATATACCAGTTATCTCTCTTTAAAAAACCCAAACAGCATAAACAACAAATGCCTCTTTCCCTAATCTCATGGTTCAGCTGTTTACTTGCTGCCTCCTCAGTAGTTGTGCTCTATTGACATGCTGGTGCTTCCTGGAGTTCCTTTACTCTCTGCCTGTTGTTATAATTTCAGCTTAAATTTGTGTCTTTCTTTCCACTGATGCTGTTATAACCAAGATTTCAGGAGTGTAGCCACCATCTTCATTTCCATCCTCAGCCTTTCTTGCAGTGTTATCTTGAATTGCTGCTGTTACATTCATTCTCTAACTCTTCAGTTTCCCATGGGAACTTCCTGGTGTCCTTCCTTTCTTCCCCTGTGCATTATCTTCATGTCATTTAATTTTGACACAAAAAGTAACTGCTGTCTGTGATCATATTTGGCTGATCCACCTTTTTTAACTTCACACCTAATTGTTTCTATCTAAATTAAAACTTTTGGCCAGGCTGGTTAGTTCTTCTCACTTCCAAATGGCTAAAGCAGAACGTTGAATCTCACTGCTCCACTCAGTTCTCTTTACTTTCTTGTTTCTTTATCACTGTGGGTAAAGAGGCCTTCCAGCTTGTAGCTCAGATTCATTGAGAGATTTCCTTCTTGGTTTGTACCTCTGTGGATCTGAATTTGAGGTAAATCAAGAAGATAGTGACTAAAGAGCAATTTTTAAAAGCAGCGTCTCTGTGGCCTGTGTGGCTGAAACACTTGCAGTTAAGATGTCTCAACTACTGCAGCATCTTTGTGTCTCTGCTCTTGGCAGATGTGAACTTGGCCTCCTCATGTGTGGTGGGGAGTGCAGTTGCAGGATCACTTTCTTGGGCTGGCACTTGAAGTGCAGCCTGATTGTTTGCATCCTTTGCTGAAAGTAAAAGCAGTTTGAGGTGATACAGAACAGAGGAAAAAGTGCTGTATGAGGTGGCTGTACTAGATATTACCACTGCTTGTGTACTGCAGAAATGGGACTCCTGTCTCTGGTTGTCCATTGCTGTTTATTTAACAGGATGTTGGAGTTCAAGTCCACAGTTCTCTCTTCAGTGATGCTCTGCATGCCTTAGAAGAATTGCCCATAAATATCTACATCGCATCATGTCTGCTTTCTTCCAGATTCCCCATTTGAGTTTCTTTTTTGGGGGGTTTTGTTTGGTTTATTTTACAGCTGTGTATGTGGTTATTTTCTGCGAGGCACACCTGTGTGTTTGGCTTTTCATTCCTTCATCTCTACACCCCTTTATATTTACTTTGTGAGGGCAGGGGAGACTTCCATTTCCAGTGGTACATTCCCCTTGGCACAGTGGGTCACAGGTTGGGGATTCCATATGCTGCACTATTAAAAGTCACTAAATACTGATGGTTGTTTTTTCTTTTTTTTTTTTTTAATGCAGTTCATAGAGGGGCCATTTGAAGATTATTTAAAAAGTTTGGAAAATCCGCAGGTATGTTAGACCTGATTTATGATAGAATGCAAGTACTTTTGTTGAAGTTGATGGCTAATTGGATTTTTTTCCTCTGAAGTGTTTTTGATTGAGCTTAGGTCGTTGAATTACGTGAATATATAGTTTTATGTATGTACTCTCTGCTGTAAAATGATTTGAGGAATTGTGTTTTTATGTCTTGCGGAACAGATTTAATGTTCATATATTTATTTTCAACAATGATTTCTTGCATCTCTTGATCTTCTTATGAGGAGGTATAATTGTGTGTTTGTTTGAACTTAATTTTCTTTTGCTTTCAATACAGGAATGGGTTGGACAAGTAGAAATAAGTGCCCTTTCTCTTATGTACAAGTAAGAAAACCTTTCAATATGTTTTGCTGAGATAATTTCTGTTGTTTTGTTAGTAAATCAGTTGGAACAGCAAAGATAGAATTATATTATGCCATACCCTACTTTGTAAAATTATAAATATATTTGAGGATTGCAGCTGTCAATAGATTAAATAGAAATAGAAAAGTGAGTTTTCAATAATGCCATGTATCTCACCTGCACAGCCAGATGTGAGTAATCTCATACAGTTATTACTTTGTTAATTTCAATATCCTGGTTTTTCTGTGAAGATTGCTTTTCTTCCTGTTACTCACCAAGGTTTTAGTACTAACCCTATTGCTCATATGTGAGCTGTACCCATTTCCTATATACTAAATCTTTTTTCACAAAGTAGTGAGAAACAATATGCTGAGTATTTATAACTGCTTTCTAATTACTGTGCAAGTGAGTGAGTAATCCACAGCATCTTCACTGTCTGCTGTTTATAAACTCATTAAAAATTCAGAATTTCAAAATGTTTACTGTAAATTAATGGCTTTGTCTATTGATGAGACAGCTGATAAAAGGAGAGAATCAGACTAGTTAAATATTACCTTTGGGCACTTTGAGTGCTGTGTGTGGGAAACTGTATGGAATTCTGTCTTTGCGTTGGTGAGGTGAATGGGCCAGCTCAGAGCTGCGTGTCCTGCGTGGATGGGGGAGGACTGAGCTGAAAGTCAGAGCAAAGCTTGGCTCAAGGGGCTTAGTGAGAAGGGCTGATGGTTACACTGAGCCAGGTTGTGGAGGGATAGAACTCAATTTAAGTCAGCAGAACTGGATGCTTAATCAGATCAGAAACTGGATGGTCATGACCTGTTGTATTTCTGGCCATGAGAAATGTATTCTCATAAGCATGAGCAGTTTATTTTGCAGTCGTGCCACATGGGTATCCAGGGCCACAGCTGATCAATGAATAGAGACAAATCCTGGTTAATAACAGTGGGTTTTAAAAATATCCACTGAAAGCATCAGGAGGGTTTTGTGGCACAGATGCAGCTCTTATCAAGTATTTCACTGCAGAGGTGAGTACACTGGAGTAGTTATTGCTGAGCTTGTTTTGGGAAGACAGGCTTCTGTTGAAAAGGCAATTTAGAGTCTCAGGGAAAGCAGGAATAGTGGTGGAGGTAGGGGGAAAGAGCTGCTCCTTCTCCTGTGTGCTGGCAGACTTAAGGGAAGTAAGAATTTTCTGTTCCAGTACGTGACTTTCAGACTTTTCAGGCATAGGCTAGAAATTCAGTACAAATAGGTTTGATTTCCCTTTCACTCCTCAGACCTCTCACAAATATAGGTTGGTTATCTAGTAAATTTGCTTGGCTCCCTGAAGTGGGTGGGTCTTCTTTTCCTTTCAAAATTGCTTTTTTCTGAGTACTTGTAAATTTATTTTTTAAATTCAGAAACTGTTAATATACTCAGTTATTTTGCATGACTGATAACATTTTTGCCTATGTGAGAAAGAATTTTTGGCTTAACAGCCTGTCACCTCCTTCAAATTCTAAGAGAAAATTATGGATGAAAGGGAGAGAGAGAAAATATTTAAGTTTAAAATCACAATAGAGATTAATTATAGCAGAGAAACCACTAGATGTTTTCTCTGGTTATGTATCTCCTTTGAATTTGACTTCAGTGCTCAAATTTTGATTGATACTACTTTTAAAATAAATTCTTCACTGTTATTTTTTTTTCCAGGAAAGATTTCATAATATACCAGGAGCCAAATGCTTCTCCTTCACGTGTAACTGAAAATGGCTTTTCTGATAAGGTGAAAAAAAATAAAAAAATCATGGCTATTGTGACAGGCTGAAGTAAGACTACTTTATAAACAGCAAGTAGTTGTGTGTGACTTTCATTATTCAACACAATGAAAAGTTCTGAGAATTCAGTTTTAGCAGTTTATTTTGTACATGTTTAAGGCAGTTGTGCTGCTAATACATGTAACACTTCTTTTTAAATAGATGGGTTGTATTTAGGGTGTGGCATATCTTCCTACTAATATAAAATTCTGTAAAAATCAATTTTCAGACACTAATCTCTGTCGTAAATTTTTTTGGGCTTTTGTTCAAATTCTGTTTGGTTTAAAGGACATCCACCAAACATGTTGATTGTTTTATTGACACATTGAGATCCTGAAAGATAACAAAGCACATGGGTGCCTTAAATTGAATTTAAAGGTAGCACTTATGAATAATTGAGATGCCTGAAATATCTGTGTGATTTTTTTTTTAATAGGTATTGCTGTGCTTCTCCAATGGAAACCACTATGATATTGTGTATCCCATAGAGTATGCAGAGAAGGCTGCTCTGTGCCAGTGTAAGTATCAAGCTGTTAGTTAAAAACATCTTTTTACCAAAAATATTGAAGCTATCGATGTTAGGTTTCAGGAAATGGCTTTGTTTGGAAGTTTATTGTAGTCATTTTCAGTGGCTTTGTTTTCAGTTTGAGTTGTCAGTGACTTATGATTACCATCTGAAATGGTGGAATGAGAACTGATTCAGCTGGTAACTGATTCTGCTCTTCCACTTTCTCCTTCTCTTCCCCAGCTCTGCTGTATGAGTTGCTCTATGAGAAAGTGTTTGATGTGGATGTAAAGAAAATCATGGCAGAACTTAGTGCTGTTGGTGTGGCAGAGGAAAGTAATGGGAGCAGTGAGGTGTCTGCTTCGGATTCGGAAGATGACAACTACAGGTAAATGAAATTGAAAAGTTGCCTGTGAACACACATTAAATGAATTTTCTGAATTTCTGGTGGGTAGCAGAATCCAATAGTCAGGGTTGAAAACATTTAAAATTACTAAGAAAAGAAGCAGGAAGAGGTAGGGTTGGAAGTGTGAAAGAATATAATGTATATCTTCACTTACCTAAGGACAGGTTTCTGGTCTTCCTCTGTTCTTCCTGCAGTCTGGCTTTGAGTCTCTTTACATAAATGGATTCTTGCCATTGCAACATGTGCCTCTTCCTGTTTAGAGTAGCAGAATTCCCTGGGAGAACTGTCAGGGTGCCAGTGTCTCTGAGAATGACTTGGCTTACTCTGCAGCTGAGTAGAGTTACAGGAATCTGATCCAACTTGTGTGCCTTCCACATCTGGGGGCTGGAATACCTGCTTGAGGTGAAGCTGATGGAGACATACAGATACAGCTTGCTCCATTTTGATCTGCATCATAAAGAAGTGGGTTTATATTCTTTTTGCTGGACGCTCTATCAAGCATTGAGATTTCAACCTGACTCCTTTTGCCCAGTCAGTCCTTCACAGTGCTGTTTGTGCAATCTTACATGTTGGCAGCTTTTCTTCTGTTTAATAAGATCCTTAACTCTGGCTTGTGTGAAATTCCACTGAAACTGCAGAGTTGGTGCTGCATCAGTGGATCACATCCCCTCCTACTGATTGTCACAGTCCTTCCCTAGGGCTCTGCTGTGTGGCATGTGGCTGCTGAAGTTCTTTGAGCTTTTGGGAGATGGTTTCTCCCACAGGTTGAAAACAACAGAAAGGAAGATAATGGAAATCATCACAAGTTAAAAAAAAAGATCTGGGAAAGGGATTAGCTTATTTTTGTGTTTGGAAAAAAATACTAGGGAATGTTGCCAATTAAAATACAAAATATTTCTGCCTGAGGAAACAATTATTATAGCTAAATGTCAGCTAATGGAAATCTTTATTCCTTTCTGTTCTTGGAGCTTTCCAAATCCAAATGCAGTAGCCTTACTCTGTATCTTTGGGATTCCTAAGAAAATATCCTGCTAACCTCCTTAGCACCTTTGGAAATAAGGTCATGTGCTCACTGGAGACTGTGGAACTCAATGTTTTTGATTTAAACCACATGTCCTATAATGCAGGGGCTGGCGTGTGTGTATGTGACTCTTGACCCAGTTAACACAAATTACAGACACTTTGCTGGGTTTATGAAGTCCTAAATCTTTTGCTTATCCTAAAGTTGACTTCAGCATGTTTCATAAGCTAGTTTTCCAGAAGATTCTTTTCATTTTATAAATACAAACTTTTCAATTATGTTGTTATTAAGTGCAATAGTTTGGGAGAAGTTAATGCTGACAGTTGCCTACAACTGTTGTAGGAAAAATACTTGGAACTTTGTCAGTGGAAAGTTTTTTTCTGGTGATGTCAGGTGTAGAAAATAAGAGTAAATTAGAATGCCTGATGGAAGTTAACTAACAGAGTAGATTTTGGTTTTGAGGGGTTTTTTAATGTCTACGTTTGCAAGGTTTTCCTCGTGTAGTTGCAAAAATTTTAAGAGGACTTTTGTTTCCCTGGTCTTCCACCCCTTGCTATTTTTTATCCTAAGTGACAGCAAAGCACACATAAGATAGACTTCCTAAAATTTGTACTTAAACCCAAAATCTTACTTCTTTATCAAAGAGAGCTACAGTTTCTGTTTTAGACAGCTTTTTCACTTCAAGAGATGAAGATATTCTGTGATAGGCTTATTGTCAGGAAAATATATAGAGAATGGTGGTGTCAGTTTTTTAATCCTCTTTAGATGTGTTTTACCTGATTTTCAGGGCTTAGTAATGCTGTAATTCATTATGAAAACATAACTTGCCTCTGTCCTATTACAGAAGTAAAGCTACAACAGTTAGTGATATGAATGGAATGAAGTCTCTTTCTGGCAACAAGGTATTTATCCATTGAGATTTATTTTCTTTCCAGTAACTTGTACTTAGCTATATTTTTGGTATTTAATGTTCATGAGAGACTCTTGAGTTAATAGCTTTCCTAACATGTAATATCCTAAAAATTGTCTGTTTCTTTGGAAAGTAGTGGGTATTTTTGATGTGCTCAGAGGTAGGTAAGTGTCCTTTTTAGTGCTGCTTAGTTCTTAGATTTGTTCTGGCATGGTTAAAAGAACACAGTTTAGTTCTTTTTTTCAAAGCTCTTTATACTCTATATATTTTCAGCATTTCTGTGTGTCAGCACAAGGCTTGAGCACTGTGATTGAAATATGCCAAGCTGGATATGTCTGTGTAGTTGACCTTTCAGCACTTTGTTCTGTTCCATGCAGCACCTTGAGAGCAATGGGAGTCCCACCTCGCTGGTGTTGCCTAAAAAGGTTCTGAAATCACTTGATCCCTTGGTTTACAGAAACATTGAATACGATGTTTGGCTCCGATCCAGATGGGGTGAGTAACAGAATACCTCAAAGCTGCAGCTTTTGCAGCTGTGGAAGTGAAGCCCTCCTGAAGAACTGATGCAAGTGGCACTTTGGGTTTTTGGTTTGGTTTTCCTCACATGGGTCACTGGGCAGATTTGGGGCCTGAACACCTGGTTTGCATTCTTACTGCATCAAGAAAGTAATCCTTTTGGTATATTTAAACTAACAGTATATTACTGCTTCTCTATTTTCAGATCAGCAAAAACAAGATTTTTCTATTGCTGCTGGCATGCAATACTCCGTTGGAGATAAATGTAAAGTAAGTAGCATTGAATTGTAGTTTATAGATACATTAAGATTTTGCTCAAGTTGTCAATTTTCCCTCTTTGTTAAATACTTTGATATTGCTACTTTATAAATACTTTTGACTTGTGTCTTCAGCTGAGCATGTACTTGTTCTTTAATTGTTGGCAGTGTTCATGACTTACAGCATGATGTACAACTGATCAGTGCAATTTTGCTCCATTAAAAAAATCACAAGGTTAACTCTGAGAGTATATGTGGTAAGGTGACTGTGAGCCTTAACATTAAGCATGGAACTGTATGTCCACGTGTTGGTTTGAGACTGGAAATAGTGATTGCTCTGTGTATATTGGCTTTGATAAAAATCTCAGCACTTCCCAGTAATGAAGTACAGCTTGCTTTAGTTACTGCAGATCCTGGAGTTTCGGGCACTTCTTCCTCTCAGAGTGTTGCAACTGTGTTACACAATTGGTCTTCAAATTCTATTAAGATTTGTATTAAGTGTTGCTGCTTAGGAACAATCAAGGTTTGCCCTTAAATTCTGGATTTGTAGATGAGTCTTGTTAAGTGTGTTAATTAAACTTGTGGTACTCACCTGAATGTGTTTCTTTCTAGGACATTTGACCATCTATTAAAGTTATTAATATTAATGACAAAATATTCAGTTGGGTTAATCATACAGCACAGGGGCTCTTTCAGTTTGTACTTTTTTATTTGTGTGATGGAGTCAACCATAGTGACTAAACTGCAGGGAGAACACATCTCCAAACCTAAAAAAACCCCAGCCACAAAATACTCCACAAAGCCACAAGGCCTCAAACCCCCTGGCCCCCAAACCAAACCAACCTAATGCTGAGTTGATTATTTATTGCTTAATAGTACAGGCTTAAAATGTGCATTTAAGACCCTAAGGCTGTCTTGTGTGGTATTTATTTACAGATATTATTAGGAGAAAACACTCTGGTAATTACATACTCTATCTGTCAAAATTTCTGTGTATGTGGCAAGACAGTAAATATATAGTATAAAAACATGGGAAGAAAACATGAAGTGAATAGTGAAAATTAGAGTTGACCAAATTAATACAACTTTAAAGCCAAATACTGTAGTGGAACATTAAGACATTTATTTTTTATACAACAGAAGGGTTTTAAGAACATAGAATGTCAGACAACTAACACTATGATCATGTCTAAAGAACTTTTCTTGATTGTTCTTAAAAAAACCTTCTGAAGAGTAACTCCTGAAGTAATTGATGTTCATTATGTTCCTAATTAGACTGCATTTCACTGAAGTGGATTTTAATAGGGAAAGGCTTTGAGTTTTATTGTGAGAGAGAGTGTTTTCAGTAAAGCTGAAAAGCCTGGCTGCACTGATTGCTTTTAACTTTCTCATGTGGTTTTGAAAAGCATATTTCATTAAGCAGTGTTCCTCAGCAAGCTGTTTGTGGGCTGTTTGTTTAGTGTTGTGTGTGTGTGTTTGTTTTAATAGTATTTTTATTTCGTTTTGAAGAAGCAATAGGGGTTGAAGATTGGCTTTTGATTCATTTATTGAACTGTGATGTGTATTTTTTAGGTCTTCTGTTGCCCAGAGGAAAATTTCTGTTTCTTATTGTTTATATTTTAAAGGGCTAGCTCCTCTCACAGTTGTCTGTGGAACTAATCCACTTTTTTTTCTTGCTCTTGCTCTTTGCAGGTGCGCTTAGACCATAATGGGAAATTTTATAATGCCCATATTCAAGAAGTTTGTTCAGAGAATGGGCCAGTTGTTGTATTTGTAGAAGAGCTTGGAGCAAAGTGAGTGCTTAATCTCTTTTGGAAGGGAGCAACAAAGTGAAGAAAGCATTACTTTGGTTCAGAGTTAACATCAGCCCCCAAAATGTATCTGTTTCTTTGCTTGGAGCAGTACTACCACAGATTTGTTAAGAAAGCATCATACTATTTAAACAAGGAAAAATTGATTATCATTTCATACTTCTTTCTGTAGTGCCAAGTAGTCTGGGTATTATTTGTAGAGTAGAATAGTAATTACATCAATAGTATTTTAATTTTTGTGCACAAGATTCATTCCTAAACAGATTGACAGCAGGCTAATAAGGTGTTGCTTGGACTTAATAATTAGATGCTGGATTTGTGACAAGCTTTTCATATTGAAAGATCCATTAGAGCTGCTCTGGTTGTTGAGTAGCTCTGCCTGATCTCATACAGGGTGCCAGGTTGCTCTTTAGATCAGCATCATCTTTGCCCTACCTGGGGCAAAAAAGTGTTTGAAGTTGTTGTTGTGGGTTGTGGATTTGATGGTTTTGATTGTGTGGGGTTTTTTGTTTGTTGGGGTGTTTTGGTGGGGAGGGGGCAGGGAGAGAGCAGTTTGAGACGTCTTGAGCTCTGCTATAAGTCCTGTGATTTATGGGTCAAAAACCCCACACTGATTGTAGTTTGGGAAGAGGACACACTTTCACTCAAGGCAAATGGGAAAGATGCCCATTTATCTCATTTGGTCACATTAAAAAAATAATTATGATGATCTGAAGATTATCTTGCAGTTTGAATCCTTTTTAAATTGGAATTTAACCTGCTTGAGTAAAGTAAATATATAATGAAAATATTATACTAGTTATATATTTACATTATTCTATTAATATAGAATATATTACCTTCTAGTTAGTATTACTCTATTACTATATAGTATAGTATATACTATACTATATAGTATTATATTACTGTAGAATAAATATATAAATAAATAACCTGTCAAATAATGTAAACAGTTGCTTGGACCATCTCTAGCATCCTCAGTTAAAAAGGCAGTAATTGTTCTGGGATATACACTGTCAATGTAACATCTTTTAATCTTGGCACCTATTGCAACATTGGTAATAAATTTATCTAAGTATATTGCTTTTACCTAATTATATTGCTTTTTGGGATCATTCTCTTTTTCTGTCTGCCTTGCAAGCGCTTCACAAATGGCTGATCATTCTTTACTAAGTTTGTGTCAACTTGCTAGTTTTATGTAAAAAGGAATAAAAAAGGGTTTGCTGTTCTACACATTGCTTGAATGTAGTCATAAAGGCAAAGAACTTTGAAAACAATGTTCTCAAAAATGGAAAGATCTGTCAGTATTAGTGAACATGTGATATTAATTTATGCAAGCCCCAGTCTGGTCTTTTAAGATATTATTCCCTCCATAATTCCTTGTTTTGTAGGCATGCTGTCTCACTGAAGAGCCTTAAACCTCTTCCACAGACCTCTCCTATGGAGGGCTGGAACACTGTGCCAGGGAAGAAGATTAAAAAGTTTTACCCAACATGGGGGCAGAATGCTCAGCCTGGTAGGACTGTACCTGTCTTTGTGTGGCAGAACCTCCTTTGTCAGATGTTTTGTCCCAAAGAGCTTAAAAGTATGATTAAAACAAAAGTCTTACCCGTTTTCACGTTGTTATCACAGATGCAGAGTGCAGAGGGCCAAAGAATCAGAGCAAGTCAATCAAACCCCAGTCAGCACTACCTCCTCGACTTCAGCATACTGTGGGAACCAGGCAGCACCAGTTCTTGTGTTCTGGGCCCCAACCTCATCAGACCTCAACTGAGCAGAAAGCTCCGGGCAGGAATCCTTCCCAGTCTGCAAGGTAAACCTGCAAACAGCATCTTCCCTGGCTTGAACTCTTAACTGAGCTTCTGGAAGCCCAGGTATCTGCTTCAGGTGCTTCCAGCATACTGTTCTGAAATACATTGCCATTGAATGCTTAGGAAGTGTCCCAAGTCCTTAAGAATACACACAAGCACAGGAAAAAATTTTTTTTTTTTTTTTGTGCATGGCAGAAACTGCCTACAAAGCCACATTTTTTTTCTTGGAAAGTAGATGTTAGTGTGGCTTATGTTGTAGTTGTTTTTCTCGAAAGGTCCATTAAAGCACCGAGCTTTTCTGGTGGTTGAGTAGCTCTGCCTGATCTCATACAGGGTGCCAGGGTGCTCTTTAGATCAGCATCATCTTTGCCCTACCTGGGGCAAAAAAGTGTTTGAAGTTGTTGTTGTGGGCTGTGGATTTGATGGTTTTGGTTGTGCGGGGTGGGGTTTTTTGTTTTGGTTGGGGCTGAAATAATGCTGCAAGTGCTTCTTGGGCATGGCTAAATCTTCCCTCCGCTTCTGCTGAACCTGTCATAGGGGACTGCTGTTTCTGACTTAACATTTGAAAGGAGTATTAAAAGAGTGTTTTGCCTGCATTTGTTGGTGGTGACTTTTTGATTCCTTGGGCTGCTGCAGCAGTTTCTATTTCCATACTTGCATCTTCCTTTCTCCTAAGGCAGGCAGGAGTTAGTGTTGGTTTGCTGCAGTGTCTCGGTGTGAGCGATGCTCTCTGTTTCCGTGCGCAGGAAGGCGGAGCGCGAGCGCGGCGAGGAGCTGAGCCAGCACGGCGCCAGGGACTGTCACTACTTTGGGCTGTCCCCCGAGGAGCGCAGGGAGAAGCAGGCCATAGAGGAGTCCCGCTCCCTCTACGAGATCCAGCAGAGGGATGAACAAGCTTTTCCTGCTCTTTGCAATGTATGCTGCATTCCTTGCCATTAACCTTGCCTGTGAACCTTTCATTAGCCATTGGTTTGCTGTCCTTGAGTCACACTGCAATTCAGGAATGAGGGATATTTGTTTTGCACTTGCTTTGTAATTAGAAGCACAGATATCTACAATGGTTTATATGTTAAAGATAAGAAAATACACCTAGTATATAATAATTGAACGTCCACCATACGGTGCTTTAGGTGTGTAAATATGGGAGACACATGAGCATCTGTATTTGTAGGATTTTGGAGAGATCATTCTGCTGATGCAATTTTAATGAAAGTGGGTGGGAGTCCCAGTACATCCAGGGAAGCGAGCAGATCCTGTGGGTAAAGAGCTGCTTTCCACATAGGCTTCTTCCAGAGATGTGTGGGGCTTTTTGGGTGTAAATCCTAGGGCAAACAGAAACAAGGATGGGAAGAAAGGCTTCAGTCTTTCTCCTAGTGAAAGACAGAGGTTGGTCTCTCCTGGGCAGTACCAGTTTGCTGTATTTGCTCACCTGCAGGAGGAGGATGTGATTTATTGTTTGAGTGAAACAGATTTTGTCACGTCAGCTAGTGACACGAATGCTCTTAAAGGGCACTTGGCAAAAGGTAGCAATGAATGTGAAAGAGGAGATGAATGGCTCAGTATCCTGCAGAGACTCCCCCCCTTCCTCTTTCTGCCTGTTACAGACATAGATATTATTTGTCCTGAAGGATAATAGTATCATAGCAGATGATGGTAAGGTGTCACTGGACTGATTACATGAAGTGATATTTCTGCTTTTGTCAACTTCTTCAGAACCAGTTAGTCTGTCAGGCTGCTACACAAACTGTGGATAATGTAAACCAGAAAAAGTTCTCCAATAGTGAAAGAAGAAACAGCAAGTGGACAGCAGAGGTGGAAGAGCAGAAGGAGAAAGGTAAAACTAAATGGATTTTATTTGCTTGGTTTTGTTACCAGCAATTGAATTTATTCAAGATGGGGCATCTGTTTAGGCAATGAGGGAAAAGTTATCCTAAGTAGCAGTGCCAAACTAAACTGGGCTGGAGGGTAGCAAGGGTGTGGTTTGTGAAGAAAGTACATTTCCCTGCTTTGTGAATGTGGCTGAGAGAGTAGACTCCTGGCTGGAATTTTTGTAGTAAATGGGAATAAAAATGAGAAAAACTAAGACTGGTCAAAGTTACCCTAAATTAGATCCTTTTGAAATTCTAGTGTGTCTGGCAGAAAGTGCCAGTGGGAAGTAAGAGTAATTTATGAAGCAGGTAAAAGCATTTACTGTGGCATGGTTAAGAATTAGCATACCTTGGTACAGGAGGTGGAGAAGAAGGGTTGGAAAAACAAACCTGTTTACAGTAAAAAGCTCTGTCACATGGTCAAAATTTTGTTTGGGTTTTCTCTCTCCCCCCAGTCGGTTACAACACTTCAGCTTCTCTTCATGGACTTAAAGCTTTTCCTCCTCTGTGAGGAAGTGGAACATGGCAGTAATAGAAGAAAGCTGTAGGTGCCAGGAGGAGGTAGTTAGTAAATCTTTGCTAATTGCAAAGGAATTTTTTAAGGAACGTTCATATTTTTAAAGAAATGTTCACCTAGAGAAAGCTGGAGAGGAAGTAAAGACTCCACTGTCATGATGAATTTGGCTGAAGGGCATGGCATGTCCATCTTTCTCTGCTTTTTGTGATACACATTTGCATTGCCTCTTGTGAAACTAGGTTAACAATCCTATGGGAATCAAGTATACTTCCTTCTGAGTGTTTAGGGATTTCTATTGCTGCTTGGGGATTTGGCAGTAATTCTCAAAATCAATGCTGTTTCCATTTATACTGCTGTCTAGTTGTGACAGAGTATATAATAAGCTTTTAAAAAGTCTATATCTACTACTGAATAATCTGGGCGTGAGTTTGATTGACAAGCAGTGATAGCCAGGTCTGAACATAAGCCAGAATGTGAAGAGCTTGTTCAGATCCTATTATGTCACACCTGTTTTTTAACTGTCTTCCCCACCAAAGTGTTTGCTGGTGCTTGAGGAATGAGACTTTGTGCAGCAGTCTGAAAACTTTTTTTGATCTTTTAATCCACTGCAACATTCTAAATTTTTTTTTAATCAGTCAAAAGTAAACAAGACTTTGAGCTTCTTTTGTCTTAGCACTTCAGTATGAAAATGCCAATCAGAGCACTTTCCCCTTAAGAAAAGTACAAACTTTTGTTTCATTAGGAGCACTTTAGGATGAATATATTTAAAGGGACAGCTGCATTTCATTCCTGCTTTCCCCAAGCATCACTGAAATGGTTTCCAAACATCACTGAAGAACTCCTGTAGAGTTGCAGAACCCAGATTGAAGTAGCTGCTCTGTTACTATCCAAATAACTGTTTGTTTTAGATGCTTTGATCTTTGGTAAAAATAGAAATTTAAGTTTTCTGAAGTAGTTATTTACTAAGGTATAGGTTTAGTTTTGAAAGTTTAATTTTGGAAAGACAAACTAACTGGCTTAAGTTTTGATAGCCATAAGTGGTGTAATGGTTCATTTACTAGGTTATGTCTTGGTGTTGCAGAGTCAAATTCCAGGCAGATCCACTTAAGTCAGAAGCTTGAGCCAAATTCATCTGAGGTAATCTTAAAGAAAAGACCAAATTTTTTTTTAATGTTATTGCTTCTCTGATACATGATTAGCAGAGCAATAGCTGCCTTTAGAGCTGTGATTGCTGCTGCTGCTTTACAGCTTTTAGTGAAATACTCCTAAGGCTGGAGGCTTGTATTTCTGTCAGCTTTCCTCAGCCCTGTAACCAATACTTAGTCTTTCTCTGCAATCAGAGTCCTCAAACCTGGGCTATTGAGAGCACTTACAAATCTGGATTTGTAATTGCTTAGTACAGTCTGTACTTCCAGTATAATGGGACCACAGAAGATTTGATGTTTGCTAATAGCTATTGTGCTAACAGACCATGAGCTCTGAAGTTCAGCGAAGATTTATGGCCTCCTGTTGGCTTTTAACCTTTGCTGTCCTTTCAATGAGCAAAATGTCACACTAGTATAATATGTGATGGGTGCTTAGCCCACTTTGTATGGAGTGTGGTTTACTGTTTGTGAATAACTCTTTGTAAAGTTAATCTTACTATTAGACTAGCTGTGTATGTTGTTTCTAACTTTGCTTTAGAAGAATAGTCAAGATGAGAGTTATCCAAAAGCTTCATCTCCTTTGGAACAAGTAAAAACAGATTCTCCGATTCTTGCTGAGCAAGTAAGAAATGTTTGTTTGATTTCAAAGTTTTCCAGTCAGGAGACTTCAGACAAAGGGGAGCTCCATCACAGCCACGTATGTATCACAATACTGGCTTTTAATTACACAGTCATTTCTATGGTGATAATGCTAAAATTTCATATTTACAGTTAGGAATCTGTTATGTCCAGCATATAGATTGTAAGAGAACAACCCCTGATAGAAAAGTAAATCTGTTATTTTCTGAGAGAGGGGTTATGTCATATCTTTCTACCAAGGTAGAAATTTAAATTCTTTAGCTTTTCCTTTTTAGGTTTCTCTGAGGTTATTGGTAATTGCTTGTGAGGGTGGCTTTTATTTTGGGTGGGAGATACTCAAAGCTTGAGGAGGTAGTTCTAGCACTGCTGGCTCTGTGGTACAGGCATGGCTGGACAGAGCTCAGAGATCTGCACGCATTGATGCAGCTCAGGTCTCTTTGGGTATGTTCCTAGTCAGTACTTCCCTGTGGGTGTGGTGGTAGTCCAGATAAGGCTGTGAGTTCGTCAGGGTCACCGTGATGGGATTCAGATTTGTTTGTTTTTCCAGAACCTGACCGAGTGCTTGCCCAGCGTAACTCCGACACCCTCTCCAGTCTTCTCTGAGGTGCATTTACCTCCAGCAGTGCCTTCTGTACCAGCCATTGTGCCAGCTTGGCCAAGTGAGCCAGCAACATATGGACCAGCAGGTTTGCAAAAATACTAACATAAATCAGAAATTACTAACCCTGGAAAATAATTTACCTCTCTTACTAAGTTGAAGATAGACCCAGGAGACAGTGTCTTGTATAATTTCACATTCCAAAGGCAGGCATTCATAGGAATGTAGTTTCTCACTGCTGAAAGCTAGTGAGAGTTTTAACACATCTTTGATTGTCTGTATGTACAATTTGCTTGACTCCCAACCTGAAAGGTACAAGAGGGTTGTGTACTTCATTGGCCTTTTTTCCTCTTGAGTGGGATAGCATTGAGTTTTGAGGATCTGCTTAAGGTAGAACATATTGTCAGCATGTTGAAACCTGGTAAGTGTTTGTGCTCTGTGTCCCATGTAACAGCAGCCTCCTTGGTTTACTCCTGAGGACTCAGCTTGGGACTTGTATGTCTGAAACTAATGAGATCCATTAGGACCTGAGCTGCAAAGCCAGTGTAATGGGTTTTGGTGTGCTGTGCAGATCTTGTGGTCTGTGGAGTTAGAATCAGTAGTGCTCCTTAGATCAGGTGCTGCATTTTCTCTCACACTGCTGCTTCTGTACAAGAGCCAGCTTTCAGATCAGCCTGCTTTGTTCACATGAGACAGTCACAATGCTATCTCACTTGACTGTGTCTGTGACAGAAGATGTGCAGGCCAGTTGATCTAAGCTCAGATTCAGAGTTGACTCTAAATGACTAGTCAGAATGAGAACTTCAGGGATACACATGAAAGTTTCAGTTCACCCATTTTTTCCTCCTTCCTATTTCCTTCTGGCATTCATAATTGTAAAAAAGAAACATGAGATCAGTTTAGCTGTTTCTGGAAAGCTTAGCTAAATTGTTTCAATCTTTCTGAAAACTATTCTCTGCATTTTGAATCCTGCTTTTCTGATGTCTTTTGGTTTGTGATTATTTATAGATATGCATTGATACCTGTTCTCTTTCTATACATATATATGTATTTGTTTTGGGATTTTTTGCCTCTAGGTATTCCAACCCAAATACCTGCTTCTTCACTGATGCCAGGACCAGCCACGGGACCTGACTCTATTGTATCACAGGCTCAGGTAACATCTGCTTCAGGTGCTGGAGTTCCTGTGTGGCTACAAGCAGTTAACCAGCCTTTAATGCCTTTGCCTCAGACTCTGAATCCCTACCAGGATCCGCTCTACCCAGGATTCCCTTTTAATGAAAAGGGAGAAAGAGCTGTTGCACCTCCTTACTCCCTGTGCAGTACTGGGGATGACTTACCTAAAGGTGAGAAGTCTGAATTTGACACCATTTTTTCTAATAGGTCTTCTATTCTTAAAATGTAGATAAACACAACTGTTTTTGGTCCTGTTGTCATTCTTTGTCCAAAGATCCAATAGTTGTCATTCTGTGATTTAAGATGTGGGAGGGAATATTGAACAGTTGTAACTCTTTAGTTTGTATTTCCAACACTGTGACTGTTTCAAGTGGTTACACCTGGAAATCTGGTAGGATCACTTTGTAGCTCTTAGCTTGCCCCATCATAAGGTTTGAGGTTTTATGCATGTAAAGAATTATCTTTGGAGAAGTGCTCCTGTCAGAGTGATAGGTTTGCTCATGTCTTTTAAAAGCTTGGAAGCTGTTGAGCATTTCCTTACTGACCTGGGAAAATACAGGTTTTGGCATACTATGAATGCAAGGTATGTCCATAAAGAACATCTCATGTCTGACTGCACAGTGGTGTTTCTTTAGTGAAGGGTTTCTTTAACAACTAGAAGTTCACAAACTGTTAAAACTGAAATTTAAACTGCTGTTGTGTTCTAGATACCTTACTGTGGCAAAAAAACCCAACTTAATCAATTGAAGACATGCAAGTAGTAACTTAATATTGGTGTTCTCTACTGAAATGGAACTTCATGAAGTTTTTGTATCAGATGAAATATTTTAGGTCCTTATAAATATTCTTCCTTTTTTTTTTTTTTAGATAAGAATATTCTTAGATTTTTCTTCAATCTTGGTGTGAAGGTAACTCTTCAAACTTCCTTATGTTTTCATTTTTGTTACAAAAACCACTTGTGAATAATTGTTGGCACTCAGAGTGCAGAAAATTTGTTGCTGCAGGTGTACATTTCAAGTCCATCTTTCAGACTGAAATACTTCCTTATTTTGTGTTCTGTTAACTGGGATTCCAGCAGTTGTCCACAGTGCACTTCAAGTCAGCAGAATTCAAATTCATATCAGTAGCATAGTGAGACTTGGCTTCCAACTGTGGCTGCACAGCCAGCAAATTGTGCTTTACAAAGTCACAGATGAATTGTGAATGTGAAGATGGTTCTTTTGGATGGCACATATAGGGAATGAGAAAATGCCTCGGACTTCAAGAATGGCTGTGTACTGGCAAAGCCACTGTGGTGCAGATCCTAAAGTCTTTCCCTGGGGCCACTCCCTTAAGTACCCTGCATGTCTGTTCTTTCTGCTCAGGTTAATGATAATAGTATTCTATCCTTTCAGTAATTATAGTAGTGTGTATGTGTAAATGTGGTGCACATCTGTGGTGAGGTTGGGGAAGAGGCTTAGCCAAAACCCAACATTTTCCATTGCTTGGCAAGGCAAAGTTGTTTGCTTTCTTTCTCCCTTCTGCACAAATTAATGTTCCTTTTTTACCTTCTTACTCCTTCTGTCAGGCAAACTACTTGGGGCAAGGTGCTGAGAGCTCTTGGGCTTATTTCATGGGACTTTGGCCATAGCAACGATATTGTTTTGTGTCTGGGCATGAAAAGGGAATATTCAGCACAGTTTCCAATGTCAGTTTGATACCTCTGCCTAATAGAAGTCTCTGTGCTTAATAGGAGATCCATAAGTCGTTAATTAGCAAGTTGTCACCCCATTGCATTCAAACAGCCTGAGTTTCCTAAGCTGACGTGCTTGGGACTCTCCTTACTGCTGCTGTGGATAATTTAGGTTCTCGCCTGTCGTTTGGTGCTTCAGCACCATCTGCTGGTCCCAGCCCACGTTCTAGTGGCTGTGCTGCTCTGCTGGTGTCCCAGGGCACAGCAGGCCCGGGAAATGCCCTGTGCATTGTCTGTCTGCTGCTCTGCTCCAGACCCTGCCCTGCCCATTGAGAGGGAAGGGGCTCCTGCAGAGGAGTTCTGCATAGGCTTTCTAGGATGGTTTGCTCCAGGAACTGTCTCTACAGAGCCCAGTTCATTAATGTGGAGGTAGAGAAAAGGGAAAGGGTCACCACCTGACTTGGACAACTTCATTGTAGTGGCCTTTGCAAAGTGAGGTCTAGTAGAAGAAATTGCCAATTAGTAAAGGTGATTCTGGAAAATGAGTTTCAAATGTTTCTCTTCAAAAACATAGCTAGAGTATGACTTGCTAAGTCAAGCTTTATGTCTTTAACCATATAGAAATTGATACTAAGTTTTCTTACTGATCATAACTGTTGCCCATTTCAACTGCATTTGGAAGGAAAACAAAAAATAAGAACACCATCCTAGAGTCGTATGATTTAGAATGGAGGGCAGTCACTGTAAAGAAAATTCTTTTTCTTTATCTCCTATATTGTTTTGAAATGGTAAATGACTGATGTACTTTTATGTCTCTGTGAACATTCAAAAGACCAAATAAGTGATTGAAATCTTTTTTTTTTCCCCTGCTGTCTTGCAGGCATACAGTTGTCCCATGTGGGCACCCCATTCTTACCTGTACCCCCTGCACCAGGCCTATTTAGCTGCTTGTAGAATGTACCCAAACGTGTCCCTGCCTGTGTATCCGCACAACCCCTGGTTCCAGGAGGCTGCTCCCGCTCAGAACGAAAACGACCCTGCACGACCAAACAGGCACTTTGCTGTCCAGACCGAGGCCAGGTCCAATGGTCAGATTCCACAGGTTGACAGATCTCCATCACTGCCTCTGATCATACCTTCAGCTCAGGTGACGGAAAGTCAAGGACAGGTCTGTGTGGAACCGGAGAATCCCACGCAGGCTCTTCATGCCAACTACGAGGAGTCCCTGAGAGGGAAAAATATGTTCCCGCAGCCTCCCTTTGGACACAATCACTTCCTAGGAGCTGTTCCAATAGCGCCTCCTTTCTTTCCTCACTTCTGGTATGGGTACCCAGTTCAGGGTTTCATTGAGAATTCAGTAGCAAGACCTAACCTTGTCTTGTCTCCTGAGGACAAAGAGGCAGCAGCTGGCAGCTCTGCCAGCATGTATGTGGGCAAAGAGTGCAGCCCTCCAGTTCCTGGAGTGAACTGTGCCGAGCAGCTCCAGAAGACCAACAGTGGCTCCAATACCGTCCCATTCCCAGTGGCTGCTGCAGGGACCCCAAAAGACACTTCAGCCAGGGCACCTCAGCTGGAGCAAACCTGTCCTGCTGCTCCTAAGCAGAAAGCAGCCGGGCAGCAGCATCGCCCTCCGCAGACGCAGGGCCCAGAGAGGCCGACGGCAGGGCCCAGCACGCAGGCGCTGCTGGCAGAACCTCCCAAAAACGAACTGAAAGCCGGCACTCCCGGCCGGAAGGAGAGGCCTGCTAAAAGCAGAGAGTCCAAGGGCGCTGGGAACGTGCAGCCGGACAGCAGGGCCCAGAGAACGAGGGAGGAGAGCTCTGAAGACGACACGGAGGTTTCCGACATGCTGAGGAGCGGCAGGTCCAAGCAGTTCTATAACCAGACTTACGGAGGAGGCAGAAGGCCCAGACCTGACAGGGGTTATTCCAGCAGGGGAGGATACCAGTTCCAAAGAAATGAGGAGGCCTGGAAAGGACCACCCAGCAGAAGCAGAGATGACGGCTACCAGTATCAGAGAAACTTTAGAGGGCAGCCATATAGGAACGACAGGAGAAGGGCAGCACTGGGAGATAATCAGAGGGGACAGCAAGCGTAAAATGAGTGGATAATTGGAAAATTTAAGCAAAAAGTAATTTGAAGTAGCAGTTTAAAATCCTAATTTCTTTTTAGTGAAGTTCAATGATGTTTAATTTTGGGCTAATTTTTGGCAAGTAAAGACTTAGGAGGATGTCAAGTCCTACCATAGGGTTCTCGGGGGGGATTCTAGAATTTGTTTGGCTTAGCAGTTTTTCTTCAATGTCAAATTAGGAAAAAAAAATAGGTTTAGTGTTTGATAATTTTTTTCCCCACAAAGGTTTCCGTTTGTGATAGAAAATGGGTATGTGCGTTTACTAGAGTGACAAATGACAGCATTTGATGTGATCTAGATTCTAAAATTGACAGTAACATTGCACCAAATATAAATGTATATTTTATCATACAATGCCTTAGTTCTGAACTGAGCTAAAGGAATTCTCAGCCTACTGCACTGTTGTCTCTGATATGCTTCCAACCCAAAGGCCTTTCATCTCAAAAAGAAAAAAGTATCTGTCAAACTTGAATGTTTCTCTTGTGTGTTACACGTATGGCAGCCAGCTAACCCTGTGTCTTAGGTATGTTGTATATAGTTCTTTTCATAATCATAGGGTATATTTTTGAATTTTAAAAAGCATTTATTTGTTGAAATCAAAATCAAGACAAGCGGTCAGAATACCTGTGTATGAACTGATAAGAATGGCTGTTTCCACCATGAATTCTTCTTAATGCTGGTGTGACTAGAATGGTGCCTATGCCAACTGAATAATTACAAAGACAATAAAAATGTAGATGCTATGCATTTCCAAAATAATTCTGCATCTGTTATAATAGCAGAAGTTTTTTTAATGCCACTTTAACACTAATGCACTGACAAATCCTAGATATTTTGTGAGGAGATGCATAAAGTACATGTTACATTTTTTTAAGTTTGTACGATTGAGCTACTGTTCAGTATTCTTTTGTTGTTGCACTGTTGATGTTTTGCATGTACAACTCCTTGCTGGAACTACTTTTAAAAGCAAGAATGGAGAGTCTCAGTGTGCTCTGCTCTTCCCTACAATTCAGAAGAAAGTGGCTTCTGCCTTATATTTTTACACTGTGTCAGAGTTCTGATGCTGTTTCTTCTGAGCCCAGTTACGATCTCCGCAGTGTTCCTGTTGCCTTTGCAGTCTGGATGTTCAGCTGTCCAGGCTCGGAGAGTGCAGTGTGCACAGTATTCACTCAGCTCTGTTGCTCTGTAAAATTGAACTGTTGTGTATATTTTTATATCTCTGTATACAGTAGTGTAGGTGACGGTACCCATTCATTGTGTCTGAGATTGTACACCCTTGGTGCAGATACCAGAGTGATAGTTACATTATACAGAGTTTGTTTTCAGATGCATGCTATGTATAAAACCCTAATTAAAATAAATGTTTTGTCTTTTCACTTGCTTTCTAAATTATATGTATGTATTTAAACCTGTTGCAATGGTATGAAATGAAATGTTGTTCTTACAGGGCCAGTTGTAGTAAGCAGTAGAATGATGACCAGATTATGGCAGGCAGCGAACAAAAAGCAGCCATAAACTCAATTTGGAGTTTTTGTTTTTAGGGGTCATGCTAGAGGCTTTTTGGTTTTTCTTTTTTCAATCTAAATACTTTTCCATTCAGGATTTCAAAAGAGGCAATCTTCACTTTTTCAGGTAGAGAACGAAGCAAGCACTGAAGCATTTAACTGTTGTTACCATTGAGATTCTCTGTTTATTTCAACTCCTTTCAAAATCATAAAGAGGGCTGCATGTTGAGTTTACTGGTGAATTTGAAACTTTGTGCAGCAGTCACTGAATGAATCATTCTGTCCTAGAGCAGGTAGTTCATCACAAGCTTTGTTGCAAGAATGAAGCCAGGAACACTTCCTCACAGAAATCTGTTGGGAAACACTGGGGAAGAGAGGCATGGCAGTAACTGGGAGGGATGTGCTTTTAGAATTTGCATTTAAAAAACAACTTCTTTCACCTGGGCCTCCACTGCCTTGCTGCTCTAGGACAGTGAAGGACTGGAAGGTGTAGGTGTATTTTCTCCAATGCTGATCAAGTAAGTCTGGTTTCCTCTCTTGCTGAAGGAGTAGTAGTAGACTGACTGGCCCAACCTCTGGCCTGGGGCAAGATGTTTTAATTGCAGGATCCTCCTGTTAATATATGTAATGTTCAGCTGCGTGACACACAGCTGAGCCACATCTTATCACAACTGATTCAGAGAAGATTGCACAACTCCAGTGCAAAGGGAGTTAGGCTGTGCAGAGGAGAACAAGTTTAGTCAGCCTGTGGAAGTTTTGTCTGACCAGCATGGTTGTGTAGGGCTGCACTCAGTACCTGCCCTTCTTCAGAGTCCCTGTGCTGCTGTAGTACAGGTGCACTGCTGTTATAGACAGAGAGAGGCAGTGTGGATATAATGCTCAGTACTGCCAAGGTTATGGAATAACCATGTTACTAACACACAGAATGGCAAAAACCCTCAAATTACCTCCACTAGCTTCTGAGGCAAAAATGTAAACAAGGAACAAAGCCATGTTTTCTTATCATGTTTTTCACATGCCAGTGAAGGCAGAGAACTGTTGAATGGAAAATACCCTTCCTTCCTTTAAGACACATAGATGAAAGTTGTTTTTTGCATGTCTGCTTAAGTAAGCAGGAATATTTAAATTTTCCTTCTGGTTCCCTGAAGGACCTTATTGCATAGGGAAGTTTTTTAACAATGTTTATTCAAGTTTTTTTCTTCTTTGTCATAGGAAGGATCAAAGCTTTTTACTTTAGGGAAAAGTAATTCCTGCATCTGAGCCTTATAAAAACTTAATGGAAGAGTGAGTTGGATAGATGGAAAGAATGTTTATATTCTTTACGATTATTTCACTGATTATTTTCATCTCCCTAGGTCTGAGAACATGCACAGGGTAGTTGATATAAAAAAGGCATAGTGACCTTCAGGGTGAGAAAAGGGTGTGTGACATTATATAAATATACACACTTCTGAATTAGTAATTGAAGAAATTCTGCAGTGTCACAAGTTACGTGGGTATTTTATTTTTGAAACCCTCAGCCAGAGAGATTCAATCTTTTTAAAAGAGGAGTCGCTCTTGTAGCATGACATTCTTAGTAAACTTCCCTCTTATACAGAAAACAGCTTCAAAGATTTATTTTAAAATGAGGAAGTTCAGTCAGTACTTGGTACATGAGTAGGATATATTGAATTGAAAACTTCCCTTAAATTTTGAAAAATCAGGAGACCCATTTGCACAATTTCAACGTGGTCTATTTTGAAATTATTACACTGAAAATAGGGCTGTGTCACCAAAATATAGAAAGTGGCAGTTTTACTCAGACTAGGATGTTTACTGCTACTATCTCAGATGTTAAATGCAGCAAGAGATTTTAAGCTCCAAAAGATTAATTGTTCTAAAACCTGATCTGAGCCATCTCATCACAGCTGTTTAGATTCCAATACGCATGTCTAGATGCCAGTTAAAAAGATGCTGGGATTCAATATTTAGTCATCCAGGAAGAAGTAGTTTCCACTCTTCTTCTGTTCCACATCCTTGGGAAGAGAAAAAAGGTCACCATTACATGAAGCAGTCTTTGGCAGACTTGAACATAACTGAAATAAAAGACACTTATCTAAACTCCTTTCTGCTTCCCTTATTACTCTTACTAGTTTCACATGCTGTTTTTGCAGCACAGTAGAACTACCCTGTCAATCTTAATTTTGTTCCATATTTTAAAATCTGACTTCGTATCAAACAATCATAGCTCCTGTACTGCAAAGGTAGTCTTCTCTTACCTTGATGGAATTGAGTTTATTTATTCTTGGTCTGTAATTGTTGGGGTCTCTTCTAAAAGTGATTTCAAGCTGAGATAAAAACTTATTCATTCCAGCCAAGAGAGTCTGTGGACTGTTGAGAGAGAATAATATTTTAGCTATATTTTCAGAAGTTTTGTATCACAGGATTACAGGCAACTTTGATCTCCATCCTGAGCTCACTCAAGTCTGGAACCGCAAATGTAAGCTGTATCTGACATACCATGACATGCTACATTTTTAGTCAAACCCTATCTCAGATGCTGCTGAAAGATCAGAGTAGTGTCTCATTGTGGCTTCCACATGTGACCTTTTCTTTCTTATTATTTTGTATCTACGTGTGTGTGCTGGCACACTTACATTCAAGGAAACAAAACCCAACACTTGCACCATATGTAAAATCTGGCAAAGATTATAACAACTTTCTCAATATCCATGAATGAGTGTGATTTTTGAATTCCAACATTTGTGTTCTTGGGAGGAATACCAACAAAACCGGGTAGCAGGGGATTGCCATTGCAAACCAGTGTGTTTACTTCATCTAGCTTGTGCCAAGTACTCAGTGTTGTAAAAGCCTGTTTTCTGATAAGGCTGCTCATCAAAAAATCTCGGTAATCTCCATGAAATTACTAACAGGAACAAAAGTAGACATCAAAAGGGACAGCTCTGAAAAAGTAAAGCAATGTACACTGCATGCTGGCATCAAGACTTGCCCTTCACTACATCTGCATACAGGTACCATTAGTACAATGCTTTCTTCTATTGCAGCTGGAAGTTATTTTCAGAAGGGTAGTTTTCAGAAGGGTAGTTTTTTCATTCCTTGATCTCTTCTGATTTTTATTTAGCCTCATGCAATTGCTTAATGCTGGACTAGTTTTTGAGGGTTTGGTTATGTTCCTCAACCCTTCCCCAGCTGTGGTTTAGGCAGCCTGTAGGTAAGGATCAATCCCATTTTCTGTTCCATGATTCAAAACAAAAGTCAGAACCCTCAGGACAGTTCTGGATGCAGCTTTAATTTCCACAGGCAGGGATGACAATCTCACTTAACAACCCCAATGAATCTCTTACCTGTTTGCCAGTGTGTTCTTGGAAGGAATGCCATCAAAAACAATCACACGATCAGCAAGATATGTAGCCATGATAAAATCATGTTCTACCACAAAAGCTGTTTTTTTAGCATGGAGAATGAAACTGCAATGACGGGAAAGAAGAAAAGAAGAGAGAGTAATGTGAGCTCATTGTAATCTTAGTGCAAATTGTGGCTCCTTGGCCAGCACGTGCACTCACCGTTTGATGACTCTGGCAGCCATCAGACGCTGCTCAGAGTCCAGGTAAGCCGAGGGCTCATCAATCAGATACACATCTGCAGGTTTACCCAGGCACAGCGCCAACGCCACACGCTGCAGCTCACCACCAGACAGCGTCTGAACCTGGCGGGGCGGGGGAAACAAGGCCGGGCTTAGTTCAGCTACAGGCTCAGAGCTAAGGCAATGAGGATGTTGATTCAGGCAATTAATACCTCCTGGTCAATGATGTTTTCTATCTGAAGAGGTTTCATCACGTCAGTTACAAACTGGGGGTGTGTATAGGCATCTCTGATCTTCTCGTGCAGCAGCTGACGGACACTTCCCTAGCAAAAGAAAAATGCTGCCATTCAGTTTTATGCACCACAAGAAAACAAGCAGAAACAGAATAATAAAAAAATCTATCTAAATAAATACAGCTACAAAATAGGCATAAAATAATTTCTGTATGTGTGTTTTGTAGCATGATACATGATACTTAATAAATAAGGCTGAAATGTACCGTAGATTTAGGGCTGATTTTCTGTGGTTTGTAGCTGACATTTAGGACTGGGACCTCACCTATAAAAAGACAAAATTAATAATGTAAGCAAGAGAATCTCCAGTATCCTTAAATAGGTTTCATCTTGGGTGTAACACATTACCTCCTTCATCAGGTGTAAGCCTTCCTGCAAGCATTCGGATAAATGTTGTTTTGCCAGTTCCTAAAATAAAATAAAATACAAGTTACACATTAATCACTTTTTAGTAATTTAGACCTCTAACACGTCACTGATACAACAACAACTAAGTAATAAAGAATACATTTTAAAATTAGATTGCTTTGACAATTCCTATATTATCTTCCAGCACTAGATAGCACTATCTTAAAACTCCCACCTAAGTCTGTAAAACAGGGTAGGTAACAAACACAACACGGTGGCACTGTTAACACTCAGTAACTTCACATTCCTCCTACTCAGGGGGCTCATTCTGTGCTATCTTCACCAGGCAACAAGCAGTTCAACCTGACTCAAACCCAGTAATTCTGAAGCCTGGCTCCCAAAGGGAAGAAGGGCTTTAGGAGCATATTCAGGGCTGGAGAAGTAGTTTCCAACATAAATTGCACATACCATTTTCTCCTAACATCACCATAATTTCAGAATCGGTGAATTCTCCAGCTACTATGGATAGTTCAAACTCTCCCATCTTTTTCTTCATTCCTGGATATTTGTACATACACATCTTTTTAACCTCTTCTTCATTAGCTGTCTCAGCTACTTTAAATACCAGAGATGCATCTCGAAACCTTAGATTTTCTGTTGGAACATAGCCATCTAGGAAAATATTTATGCCTATGATGGGAGGAAAAAAGATCATTAGAAAGGTCTGCAACAAAGTAAAACAAGATGAATTTCAATTCCTGGCTGCAAATTTCATTCTGATAATGAGAATGGTAATTTTTAATGCTTTAAAAGAAGCAACAAGACCTCCTCTTTTAAGGCATGCACATTGCAAATTGAATGAAGAAGAGCCATACTAAACTACAGAATGGCTGGAGCAGCT